TTTTGCCCGCTAGAGCCGAAAATCGCTCGGTTTTTGGCCGGTAGCGGCGAAATTCGCACGATTTTTGACCGCTAGCGGCGAAATTTGCACGATTTTTGGCCGGTAGCGGCGAAATTCGCACGATTTTTGGCCGCTAGCGGCGAAAATCGCGCAATTTTTGGCCTTTACCTGCGAAAATATCGCGATTTTTGGCAGCCAGCTGCGAAAATCGCACGGTTTTTGGCCGCTAGTGGCGAAAATCGCGCGGTTTTTGGCCGGTAGCGGCGAAATTCGCACGATTTTTAACCGCTAGCGGCGAAATTCGCACGTTTTTTGGCCGCTAGCGGCGAAAATCGCGCGATTTTTGGCCGCTACCTGCGAAAATCACGCTATTTTTGCCCACTAACGGCGAAAAACGCTCGGTTTTTGGGCGCTAGTGGCGAAAATCGCGCGATTTTTGCCCGCTAGAGCCGAAAATCGCTCGGTTTTTGGCCGGTAGCGGCGAAATTCGCACGATTTTTGACCGCTAGCGGCGAAATTTGCACGATTTTTGGCCGCTAGCGGCGAAATTCGCACGATTTTTGGCCGCTAGCGGCGAAAATCGCGCAATTTTTGGCCTTTACCTGCGAAAATATCGCGATTTTTGGCAGCCAGCTGCGAAAATCGCACGGTTTTTGGCCGCTAGTGGCGAAAATCGCGCGGTTTTTGGCCGGTAGCGGCGAAATTCGCACGATTTTTAACCGCTAGCGGCGAAATTCGCACGTTTTTTGGCCGCTAGCGGCGAAAATCGCGCGATTTTTGGCCGCTACCTGCGAAAATCACGCTATTTTTGCCCACTAACGGCGAAAAACGCTCGGTTTTTGGGCGCTAGTGGCGAAAATCGCGCGATTTTTGCCCGCTAGAGCCGAAAATCGCTCGGTTTTTGGCCGGTAGCGGCGAAATTCGCACGATTTTTGACCGCTAGCGGCGAAATTTGCACGATTTTTGGCCGCTAGCGGCGAAATTCGCACGATTTTTGGCCGCTAGCGGCGAAAATCGCGCAATTTTTTGGCCTTTACCTGCGAAAATATCGCGATTTTTGGCAGCCAGCTGCGAAAATCGCACGGTTTTTGGCCGCTAGTGGCGAAAATCGCGCGGTTTTTGGCCGGTAGCGGCAAAATTCGCACGATTTTTGGCCGCTAGCGACGAAATTCACACGATTTTTGGCCGCTAGCGGCGAAAATCGCTCGATTTTTAGCCACTAGCGGCGAAAATAGCCCCTTTTTTGACCGAAAATCGGTCGATTTTCGCCGCTAGCGGCCAAAAACCGTGCGATTTTTGCCGCTGGCGGGCAAAAATCGCGCAATTTCTGCCGCTACCGGCCAAAAACCGCGCGATTTTCGCCGCTAGCGGCCAAAAACCGTGCGATTTCGCCGCTAGCGGCCAAAAATCGCGCGATTTTTGCCGCTAGCGGCGAAAATCGTCCGATTTTTGCACTCCAGCGGCGAAATTCGCCCGATTTTTGCCCAATACCGGCGAAAATCGCGCGATTTGTGGCCGCTAGCGGCGAAATCGCACAGTTTTTGGCCGCCAGCTGCGAAAATCGCATGGGTTTCGGCCGCTAGCGGCGAAAATCGCGCGATTTTTGGCCGCTAGCGGCGAAATTTTCACGATTTTTGGCCGGTAGCAGCGAAATTTGCACGATTTTAGGCCGCTAGCGGCGAAAATCGCCCGATTTTTGGCCGCTAGCGGCGAAAATCGCGCGGTTTTTGGCTGATAGCGGCGAAAATCGCGCGATTTTTGGCTAGTAGCGGCGAAAATCGCGCGATTTTTGCCCGCCAGCTGCGGAAATTGCACGGTTTTTGGCCGATAGCGGCGAAAATCGCGCGATTTTTGCCCGCCAGCTGCGGAAATTGCACGGTTTTTGGCCGATAGCGGCGAAAATCGCGCGATTTTTGCCCGCCAGCTGCGAAATTCGCACGATTTTTGGCCGCTAGCGGCGAAAATCGCGCGGTTTTTGGCCGGTTTGTGGCGAAAATCATGCGATTTTTGCCCGCCAGCTTCAAAAATCGCATGGTTTTTGGCCGCTAGCGGCGAAAATCGCGCGGTATTTGGCCGGTAGAAGCGAAAATCGCGCGATTTTTGGCCGGAAGCGGCGAAAATCGCGCGATTTTTGCCCGCCAGCTGCAAAAATCGCATGGTTTCTGGCCGCTAGTGGCGAAAATATCCCCTTTTTTGGCCGCTAGCGGCGAAAATCGCGCGATTTTTTCCCGCCAGCTGCGAGAATCGCATGGTTTTTCGCCGCTAGTGGCGAAAATCTCGCGGTTTTTGGCCAGTAGCGGCGAAAATCGCCCGATTTTTGGCTGCTAGCGGCGAAAATAGCCCCTCTTTTGGCCGCTAGCGGCGAAAATCGCGCGATTTTTGGCCGCTAGCGGCGAAAATCGCGCGATTTTTGGACGGTAGCGGCGAAAATCGCGCGATTCTTGCACGCCAGCTGCGAAAATCGCATGGTTTTTGGCCGGTAGCGGCGAAAATCGCGCGATTTTTGCCCGCCAGCTGTGAAAATTGCAAGGTTTTTGGCCGCTTCCGGCGAAAATCGCGCGATTTTTGGCCACTAGCGGCGAAATTCGCACGATTTTTGGCCGCTAGCGGCGAAAATCGCGCGATTTTGGGCCGGCAGCGGCGAAATTCGCACGATTTTTAACCGCTAGCGGCGAAATTCGCACGATTTTTGGCCGCTAGCGGCGAAAATCGCGCGATTTTTGGCCGCTACCTGCGAAAATCACGCGATTTTTTCCCACTAACGGCGAAAAACGCTCGGTTTTTGGGCGCTAGTGGCGAAAATCGCGCGATTTTTGCCCGCTAGAGCGAAAATCGCTCGGTTTTTGGGCGCTAGCGGCGAAAATCGCGCGATTTTTGCCCACCAGCTGCGAAAATCGCATGGTTTTCGGCCGCTAGCGGCGAAAATCGCGCGATTTTTGGCCGCTAGCGGCGAAATTCGCACGATTTTTGGCCGCTAGCGGCGAAATTCGCACGATTTTTGGCCGCTAGCAGCGAAATTCGCACGATTTTAGGCCGCTAGCGGCGAAAATCGCCCGATTTTTGGCCGCTAGCGGCGAAAATAGCGCGGTTTTTGGCTGGTAGCGGCGAAAATCGCGCGATTTTTTTTTTTTTTTTTTTTTTTTTTTTTTTTGAGATATATACAAGAGTTGTTACATTCTTGTACAGCCACTAGTACGCATAGCGTTTCGGGCAGGTCCCTGGAATACGATCCCCGCCGCGAAGAATCGTTTTTTCATCCAAGTACACATTTTACTGTTGCGTTAAACAGAGGCTACAGTTAAGGATTTGCGCCCAGTAAATCCTCCCCGGCCAGGATACGAACCCATGACATAGCGCTCGCGGAACGCCAGGCGAGTGTCTTACCACTACACCACTACACCACGGAGACTACATTTTTGGCCGGTAGCGGCGAAAATCGCGCGATTTTTGCCCGCCAGCTGCGAAAATCGCATGGTTTCTGGCCGCTAGTGGCGAAAATATCCCCTTTTTTGGCCACTAGCGGCGAAAATCGCGCGATTTTTGCCCGCCAGCTGCGAGAATCGCATGGTTTTTGGCCGCTAGTTGCGAAAATCGCGCGGTTTTTGGCCGGTAGCGGCAAAAATCGCACGATTTTTGGCCGCTAGCAGCGAAATTCGCCCGATTTTTGGCCGCTAGCGGCGAAAATTGCCCGATTTTTGGCCGCTAGCGGTGAAAATCGCGCGATTTTTGGCCACTAGCGGCGAAAATCGCGCGATTTTTGGCAGCTAGCGGCGAAAATCGCGCGATTTTTGGCCGCTAGCGACGAAATTCGCATGAATTTTGGCCGGTAGCGGCGAAAACAGACTCTTTTTTTTGGCCGCTAGCGGCGATAATCGGTAGATTTTCGCCGCTAGCGGCCAAAAACCGAGCGATTTTCGCCGCTAGCGGCCAAAAATCGTGCGAATTTCGCCGCTAGCAGCCAAAATTCGTGCGAATTTCGCCGCTAGCGGTTAAAAATCGTGCGAATTTCGCCGCTAGCGGCCAAAAATCGCCCGATTTTTGCACTCCAGCGGGGAAATTCGTCCGATTTATGCCCGCTAGCGGCGAAAATAGCCCATTTTTTGGCCTCTAGTGGCGAAAATCGGTCGATTTTTACCCGCTAACGTCGAAAATAGCGCGGTTTTTGGCCTCTAGCGGCAAAAATCGCCTTATTTCGGCCTCTAGCGTCGAAAATCGCCCGGTTTTCGGCCGCTAGCGGCGAAAATCGCCTGATTTTTGGCCGCTAGCTGCGAAAATCGGTCAATTTTTTGGCCGCTAGCGGCGAAAATCACGTGAATTTTGCCCGCTACCGGCGAAAATCGCCCGATTTTTGCCCTCCAGCGGCGAAATTCGCCTGATTTTTGCCCGCTACCGGCGAAAATCATGCGATTTTCGCTGCTAGCGGCCAAAATCCGTGCGATTTTCGCCGCTAGCGGCGAAAATCGACCAATTTTTGCCCGCTAGCGGCGAAATTCGCACGATTTTTGGCCGCTAGCGGCGAAAATCGCCCGATTTTTGGCCGCTAGCTGCGAAAGTCGGTCGATTTTTGCCCGCCAGCTGCGAGAATCGCATGGTTTTTGGCTGCTAGTGGCGAAAATCGCCCGGTTTTTAGCTGCTAGCGGCGAAAATCGCCCGATTTTTGGCCGCTAGCGGCGAAAATCGCCCGATTTTTGGCCGCTAGCGGCGAAAAACGTGCGGTTTTTGGCCGCGCCGCAATTAATTAAATTATTAAACCCATCCTGTGGGCAGTAGCGTAGTATGGCCTACCCAATTCGTTTTTTATAATACATAATGTACGATCCACTTTCTACAATTTGCATAGAGTATATTCTAGTGTATTTATTATAATTTGGCGCCAAGTGACATATATGCAGATATCTATATATCCATCTTTCTACATGTAATATACAACTTGTACATAATATATTAAGCAAAATTAACAGTAATTTGAGTTGCATATGCAAGGTAAATAAAACCTTTTATAGATAAGAAATATTGTATATATTTAAACACAAATTCCAGTAACCTTAAAAAATAAAAATTACCATGTCGATATTTTATTAAAAATACAAACTTTCCCAAGTTCTGAACCCCAGTATACCCCAACCATGAAAATTGATAAAGCATAGATCACTACTTACCAATACAATGGTCCTCTAAGTACAGGTACTGTAATGTAATTACGAAAATAAACCTCTAGGCCAGCAAAGATAAAAGTTTTGGAACAATGATTCAAGATATCACTAACTATACTTGGGCAATTCTTTGTGATAATATAATACATTGCAAATATATATATTTAAAAACGTAACAATAGATTCCACAATGCTTAGTCATGACTCGAGGAATTACCATAACTTTCCTACATTTAATATGATGTATGTGCTCTTCCAGTTAAAATAGCAATGTCTAAGAAATTATCAAAAGAAAGCACCAAGTTGGGAAGACTATTTAGTATCATCCATGTCACAGGCTATTACAAAAAAAGTCCTAAGTATCACTTAAGATGCAAATAAGAGAGCAAAAAGATGCAAGACAAGCAATTAAACACAAAAAAAATTAAGATTTGCCAAGGATTTTATTGACGAACAAGTGACTCGTCAATATCTAATACACAAGCAAAATTAGTTAACTATTTGGCCTCCTGCTTGTATGTTGCAGTTTAATGGGCTACAACATACTTGTATAGGCAAAATCAATAATTATTCCAAAACAAATTCAGACTTAATATTACATTTTACAAGATCAGTAACAAAAACTGCGCCGTCATAATCTGAACTTTGGATAAAAGACTAATTAGGTTTGCTTAAATTATTGGCCAAGTAATAATGGTAATAATCATCACTTCATGTTGACCAAACCACACACTAGAAAGTGAAGAGACGACGACGTTTCAGTCCGTCCTGGATCGACATTTTTCAGCCACATTATTGTGACTCTTCATCAATCATCACTTTATTATGAACATTGTGCACGAAATGGCCTTCGCAAGCAAAAGCCTGGTACAGTACTGTAATTAAGATGTGGGCATTGTCAGTACCTAGAGCATAGGCATAAATCATCCTCATGGATCCTGATTTTTCTCACTGTATTTCATTGTTATTGTTATATCTCATTGTTATTTTATGTTTCATAATATAAAATCCAATGAACATTATATTGCACAAGGTTTTATCCTTGTAATTCTATATAGAAAATTATATTGCACAAGTGATAATTGATGAAAATTACATGCCAAGAGAAATACTGTACTGTGAACAATTTAAGATTTGTTCTCTTCCTTGAGCCATTCCAGCACGGTCGGTGTATAGTAGGAGATTATCACATCTGCTCCTGTGAAAGAAAAAGCACTTGAGAATGATGAGGAAATACCTTTTAATTAATGATACGTACAATGTTACACATCTTAATAATCTTAATACATCTTAATACAATATTATGATGTCTCCTGAGCACCGAGGGTGCTCATACAGGATTGAACATCCTCTAGTGCATGGAGTCCAAATCCTGCAGAGTTTGTTACACACCTTCATAAAACATCTTTATCTCGCATGCTCTTTATTTTTTAATGCCTCTTGTCCACTTTTTTTTCTTCCATTAAAACTAACATTATCAACAGGTTGTCTTTCCACTAACTTACAAAACTAGTCATACAGTACTTAATCACCTACGTTACACCTATACTGGAATGAACGTGAATCATTTAATATTTACGGCACATAATAATTAACCCTAACAATATCTAAATTGATTTCCTCCCTGGAAACTGTATAAACTATGTACAGTACATCTAAACCTTTCAAGTTGGATGTAGGAGGAAAAAAAGCATTTTGTACACGACATCTAGCAAAGGATTTTTTTTTTGTACAAGCACTCCCTAACTTGCGACCAGCATGATTCCAAAAATGTGTTCATACATTTGCTGCTTGGAACTTCGAACCAGATTTTCCACAGCCACAATGGTATATATATATATACAGTGTGTGTATGTATGTATGTATGTATGTATGTATGTATGTATGTGTGTATATATATATATATATATATATATATATATATATATATATATATATATATATATATATATATATATATATATATATATATATATATATACACACACACACACACACACACATACTGTAAACAAATACTATTGACAATCATAATTGCACGTACCTGCTCGACGCATACTGGTAAGAACTTCCATCAGTGTAACACGAAGGTTGAAAGCTCCAGCTTTGGCACCATGATGTAACATAGCATATTCTCCCGAAACCTAATCGAAAAGAAAATCATATTTGCAAAGTAATTACACAAAAGAAACTTTACATTAAATTTTGGTCAAAAACCCATGATTTATATAAAAAAAAAAGACCTCAGTCACTTTACTTCAATATTCCCCAAGCAATACTGAAGAAGGGCGGTGAACATTTACTTGGATCTCATACCCTTCTTGGGTCATCTGTTATTAATAATGAATCTAGATTTCAAATAGTCTATAGTAAACAGAAATTTATTTGGTAGAAATACAGTATAATCATAATGGATTACTGGTAACTCATCAAAATGTATTTGCATTTGAAAATTAGTCAACGTTTAAATTGACATTTGCATTTTTCATAAATAATAATAAAAAAATAGTGATTTATAATAAAGAATAAATTGCATTTACAAAAATACATTAGCTTCTGTGGAATTTCTTCTAAATACCTGATTTTTCCAAGTCAGTTGCTACTCTCCATACTGTACAATTTTTAGGGAATAGTGGAATATATCTTTATGCTGGCTCCCACATGGCCAATTCAGCTTGGTTGCCAGGCCATCTGCTCTCCCAGCAGAATGGAAAGTGCCTATATCAAGATTATTTTTCCTTGGCCTGAATGGGAGGAGAATAGTGGATCATAATCATTGTCATTTCCAGGACTTTTCTTGGTATAAAGATGAGTGGCAAGATTTCTTAGGTATATACTTGGCACTCTGTACTTTCTAAACTACTGGAGAGTACCAGTACGTTCTCTCCATGGTCATGACCTTGTACCTGTATGAGGTTCTGGGAGTAGCTCTACTTCCCAAGCATAACCCGGGGCCAGGCTTGATTTGTGAGAGCTTGGTCCAACAGGCTGTTGCTTGGAGCAGCCCACAGGCCCACATATCCTCCACAGCCCGGTTGGTCAGGCACTTCTTGCAAATAACTGTCCAGTTTTTTCTTTAAGACTTCCACTGTTGTTCTGTAAATATTTCTTATACTGTACTTCCTGGGAGGATATTGAACAACCGTGGACCTCTGATGTTCATATAGTGTTCTCTGATTGTGCCTATGGCACTTCTACTCTTCACTGGCTCTATTCTGCATTTCCTTCCATATCGTTCACTCCAGTATGTTATTTTATTGTGCACATTTGGGATCTGGGCCTCCACTATTTTCCATGTTACTATTTGATACCTCTCTTGTTTCCTTTCTAGAGGGTACATTTTGAAAGCTATGAGATAATTCCAATATTTTAAGTGCTTAATCGTGTTTATGCATGGCGTACATGTATTTCCTCTACATATTTCGACGGTCTCTCCTGCTCTGAAGGGGGTAGTGAGTATTGAGCAGTACTCAAGGCCTGCACTGCCTTGTCCCATAAGGCAAGACAGCACAAGTGATTTGAATAGTATTAGCATTGTGATAGGATGGATTATGAGAGCCTTCAATTCCAAGGATTCCATAATTTTCTAGCTGATGCTATATTTGCTTCATTATGATCCCTAAACGTTAAGGCATCAGACATCATTATTCTCAGTTCCTTTACATATTGCTTTCCTACTAAGGACAAATTTGTGTTTTGTACCCTGTATTTTGTACAAGGTCATCATTTTTACCATGCCTAAGTACTGTACCTGCAACTTATCCCTTTTAAACATCATGTCACTTTCTACTGCTCAATCAAAAACTTTATTAATAGACTTCATGGCTAAAAAGAGATCCAAGCCATGATATCCAGGTTCAGATATTCTGAAAATCGAACTTCAATCTCCGGCACTGCGTTACCCTTGTATGCCTTGTCTCGGTGTGACTTTAGTCCGATGGTTAGATCTAGTAAATGTGTTGTTGTTCTGACCCTGGGCCTGTTTTTATGTCATGGCTGATGCAAGAAGTCACACTTTCCTTCTCTATACTGTACGTTGTGGCCATGGGGGATGAAACTATTGGAAAATCCAAAGGGCACTAACTCAGAAATTGAGTGCTGGGTCCATGAAGTGATCTTTTCACATTCAGTAATTCAGACACTTCACATTTCTTTCATTTCGTTCCGGGTTTCCCATGCATGTTGAGGGGTTACCTTGCGATGATTTTGGGGCTCAACGTCCCCACAGCCCAGTCCCCGACAAGGCCCCCAAGGTGGTTGAATTGTTAATGTAAGCGGAGTTTGCTAGCTCCTTGAACCCATTTAGTATGAGTGCCGTTGTTGTTGCCTGGTTGCAGTTATAGCTTCATTTAGTGAAAGTTTGCAGAGCAACTGTTGATGTTTATAGAGTTGCAAGTTATTGCTTAGAGGAAGTGTCGAGTGTGGGGAGGGATGTCTTTTTGTCTTATAACTTCTAATATTTACCTGTACCAACAAATGCAGCAACATTTTAAAAGTTCCGTTTTACAGTTAAGCCCATTTAGTCTGGAGTGTAAATGATGCAGTTGGCAAACAAATGGCTCTTAACTACGGGAGTAACCGAGGTGCCTACTTGGCACATTTACAAATGTCCCGACATTTACCAAATGTAAGCTATAAATTAATTAATATAGCAAAGAATCCATTTACCTGGTAGATGAAGAGAGGATAGTGTGGGTATCTGTCCTTAGTCTGACGCACAATGTCAAGATATGCCATGCCTGGTTTCACCATCAACATATCGGCACCTTCCTCCACATCACGATCCTAGTGAGAAATGTTTAATTACAAGCTACTAAACATTTGGACCAACATATGAAAATCGATGTTATGTATAAAATATAAAAGTTCAACAAAAGCATACGAAACTCCACCTATTTTTATCCAATGTCATCTACAATTCTGTTCTCATCTGCATATTCTACATACAGTATTATTAACCCTACACACACTTAGAGGTACAGCAACAGCCTTGTATCTTTAAAAGACTGGCACTCAATACCCCCAATGGTCCAAGTGGTCGGGCACAGTTCCGTCCCTCTGTCTTCGTGTCCCAGCTCCTTGTCCTCATGTCCTTCCCAAGTGGTATATAGTCATTCTGGCTTACCACTTTCTCCTCATAATGACCTTTACTTACCCTTACTCTCTCTTTTGTTTTCCCTCACTGAATTATTGTTCTTTTCTCTCGTTATTGTTGATTATCACTGCTGATCTTATCCTAACCTTTCTTTTTCACTGTGGTGTTGGTCTTCCACTGTAGCCACTAAATCTATAACTTTTTTCTCCACATTTTCAATTTATTTCAACATAATTGTTATTTTTACAATTAATCTTTTCTGTGCTATCTACCTCCCTTATATTTAAATTTTCTCTTATATTTAGATTTCCTTATATTCATGTCTCAGTCTACACCCCAACTAACTGGAGATTCATTTATACAGTGCATACTTCGACCATTCTGTTGGTGCCTGCATACACGTATTTTACTGTCATTCCAGCCCACTCTGTTGATTTTCCACTCCAAAAATAAGTCACCATTTTACCAGACACTATGTGGAAATAATTTCCCCATGCAAGAAGAAATATACTTTAATTATTAAATCTGAATTACTAAAATTAAATTTATGAGAACTTTTCCACTGTTATGATAATTCCTGTATTTAAAATAATTAGTATTATGGGCTGACGCAACACCATACTTATATTAATTTTTATCAGCCGGTCCTACCTCACGAGAATAAAAACGAGAAACTGACGTCGTTTTCTGTGAGATCTCGTAACCGAATAGGAATGAGGAAAATGGATTACACTATACTGTATCAATTTAATAAATTAACTAATAGTTAAATTTGTAATCAATTAAACTACTGTATAGAAATAACTCTATATATAAACATTAAAGCCTCACAGTGACAAAAAAAAAAAGTCAAGAAGAAGGTGATGGTGCCATGACTCTTGAGGCTGTTTGCTTGCTAGTGACACACATTGACAAGCTTTATAAATATTGGACATTTATGCCATACCGTATGTAGTGGCTTACAGCTGTTCAGACGTTCGTGTTCAACAGTCTCAACTCTGACCCATACTTACTGATAATAGCAGAAATATCAAATTATTTCAAATTATTTCAATTAAATATTGGCTTTCAAATTATTAAATTAAATGTAAAATTTATTATTGTTAAATGTGAAGACTAAACAAAAACATCACAATGGCTCCTGGTAAGTCCACCTGGTCAGGTACATCACAGTCAAGGTGTCTACCCAGCGACCACACTCCTTTGTCTAATCTAAAGCCTTGCTTCCCTAGTCTCATGAAGAGTGCCAACCATTGGACGGTAGAGCGACGGTCTCGCTTCATGCAGATCTGTGTTCAATCCCCGACCGCCCAAGTGGTTGGGTACCATTCCTTATCCCCCCCGTCTCATCCCAAATCCTAATCCTGACCCCTTCCAAGTGCTATATAGTTGTTATGGCTTGGCATGTTCCCTAATAATTCTCTACCATCCCAAATTCTAGGACTGGAGTGTTGGTCAAAGGGTTGTTATTACCAGGGCTGAACTCGGGGAGCTACTGAGGAGTTTCTACATGAACAAAATATTAAACTTATGTATTCCTAACTCACTGCTGCTCTTGCTGCAAGTCCTGATGATCCTGGAGGCAGTTGATAGCATCGCCGATCACCAAATGTTGGAGCAGATTTTGCCGCGTCCCTGAATGGTCCATAGAAAGAAGATGCAAACTTGACGGCATAAGAGAGCACTGAAACGCTATTTGATAAACCAGCTTCCTGAAGTGCAGCCTTTATTGCACCAACTCTGCCATCCATCATATCCGAAGGGGCTATGATTTGAGCACCTGCATGATAAAGCAAGTATCAAAAACTTTCCACACATGAATTGATGAATTACTGGTACTCAACCCCACAGAAAAAATCGTTGTTTAAAATTCACAATTATTACTGTATACAGTATTCTTTCCAAGCCTATTCAAGTACTGTAGTATATATATAATTTGAATGAATTCATGTTATTCTATTATTGGGGCTTTCTCTTATGTAAATAACACACTGATGTTACACAGTATTGTACCAATATATATATCACCACTCAAGCTGCAAGCATAATGTTTATGCATTTGTTTAATAATCTGTTTGAATTACACAGCTGTGCACCTGTTCAGTCCTGCCAAAATTGTAACAATGTTACAATTTTACTTGTTACGATTAAAGTCATCTATCTAATCTAAGCTACTGAATGTTATTTTCAATGTCCCTAAAATGCCCTTGCACCATACAACTTCCCATAATATCTTTTTTCCAAATTTTAATACCTTTCATGTTAGTTTTCTTCCGTTTTCTCTCATGCATGTTTCCGCACATTTCTATTTCCAGGTGCAAGCATGTACTTCATTTTCACAATAGCCAAGCCAACATGCAATATCATTTGACAGATGTTTCAAGTGAACCTTCCTGCACCTTCTGTTGAAACAATTAAGCATTTTTATAAACTTTTTGGGAAGAGCCTACGATGATTCCTAAAAAAATTAGGGAGTTTCCTGAAGGAATGCACACAAGATATAAACAGAGATAGAGAGGAAAATAGAACTCACCTGCTTTTGCATAAGCTGTAGCTTGTTCAGCCAACCGTTTGATGCTCGGGATGTTATCAATAGTTCCATCCTTCTTCAGAATCCCACAGTGACCATGACTAGTGTAGGCGCACAAACACACCTAAAATAGAACGTTCACAAAACTCAATTATCTATTAACATATATTGGCTTTGTAGGAAAGGAGTTCCGCCCACTATTTTCAATGACTTGCGAAACAACTAAAAAGATAATGTTATTTTCACATTTCAACTTTTTTTTAAAGCCATAACACAGTACAGTAAGTGGCTGGTGGAAACTTATTCCAAATAATTATGAAAATGTATTATAATTTTAGAAAAATACAATTAAAATCCCATGTTGAATGTAATGGAATGCCTCTTTCTGATAAAGAGCTCCAGTGGCACCCTGAAGCTATCTTTCTGAGATTGCTCTATACTAAAAGGGCACTTCAGTCACAGATTTCCTGTTTGGCCTACCAAGCATCAGAGCCAGAACCTGGCCTTCCTCTCTGTCACAGAGACACGAGAAACAAGTGATAATTTGCCACTGCACCGGGAAAGCATCGAAAATAAAAGCCAACAAAGTTTTACAGAAAACTAGAAAGTTTACAGAAAACAAAACCTTAAAACTGCCAAACAACTCTGCAAACAATTCACAAAGAAGAAGAGATTGCCTCAAACTAACTCGAAACTCATTAGTATTGATTGCCACAACAGACGTCCAAGCCCAGCCCTCAGCTGGCTCCCCATCTCAGTTCTGGAGCTGATGAGCAACTCACCAACAAACCTAGATAGAAAGGAGGGAATCAGGGGCCTGCTTACCTGCTTGATGGGGTTCTTGGAGTTCTACTCTCCAAGCCCAGCCCAAGGCTAGGCTTGACTACTGGGGCTCTACCAGAAAGAGGCATTTTATTGCATTCTATGTTGGATTCCTGTAGGATACCCCCCTGAAGGTTCCCTGGAACTATTTACAGAACAAAAACATGATGTATCAGGGAGGAGAGGCAACCAACAATTAAATGAAGAGAACGCAGGCTGGGAGAGATGACCCAAAGTAACACAACCCAAAACTCCTGATGCTAAGAGCAGAGGGAGAAGATCGAACCAGTGAAATACATCGTTGAGCCGATCCACTGAAATGGGTGGAGCCACAGGAAAACACCTGGGTTTGGATATTGGTCGAGAAGCACTGGAAACTATGGCTGGACTGGCCTCCTTGGAGCCAGAAGGATCACTCTTCCAGGGTATGACGTCATACTAGACAGAACCCAGAGCAACAACAGAATTGGAGGTAAAGCGTTTACCGTTTAGTGAAGGTGCGTTTACCTTAAAAGGTAAACGCACCTTCACTTTGACCAGTCCAGTAGAACCACAATCCACAGTGAGAGTCTTGTGATCTAGGAATGGAGCCATGTATGAGGGAAGACGCCTGTTCCACACTAATGCAAATGGTCCATCTTGGGGCAACCAAACATCTGGCAGAGCCATCGGAAGGATGCATCATCCACGGTCCAATCAGTGGAAATGAAGCAGAAGCCTATTTGCGAGAATATTGGATACACCCTGCATGTGAACTGCACAGAGAACCAGACCCCAGAGAAGCCAGAAGCTGAACTAGTGAAAGCATTCAGCACCACAGGGCAATGGATGAAAGCAATCCTGCCTCAGTTTAGGCAGAATCCCCTAGAAGGAGTCAGAGTGCAGCCTGAGCACAGAGTCCAGAGGAGGCTGAATTCTGCTTAGGGAATGCCACACAGCCACAAATTCATGCATCATATTGTGTGCCAAAAGCAACAGACCCAACAACCAACCTTGAGCTCACATGCCAACCAGGTTTATTGGCGAGTTGACCAGAGAGTGTTGGTCACAAAGCCCTGAAACAGAGCCAAGGTGTCCATGAAAACACTGAGCAATAGGGAAGGATGGCACCACAGAACTGAACCTTGAAAAGCCCAAAGGCGAAGCCGGCAAAGCAAGAGCTAATAAGGAGTGAGCAGGGTGGAACTGGAGAAACTGCTAAAATTCCCAGAGCCAAACTATGCCCAGTGGGGAGACCAAGTAGGAAAAGTTTGACCAACCAACGCAGTGACAAAACTGCTGGGAGAACAAAGTCACCAGAGGCAGGGACAGAGAAAGCAAGCCAGAGTTTCAAATGAGGCTCAGCCAAGTCTGAATCTGGGACGGAACAACAGGGACCTCTTCCAGTTCACCAGGAACCCTAAGATAACTGACTCTGCAAGGGGAGTGCTAGCAGATTTCAGGGAAGAGAGCCCTGAGCACATGCAGTGCAAAAGCACAACACAAGCCAGAATTAAAACATGCACCCAAAGCTAATATTAAAATAAAGGTAGTCAACAACAAGCAAATGGTCCATGCAGGACGAACAAAGTCTAAGGATTGCTGAAACTTAGGTTGAAGTTGTGGGGCTTGCCCATGACTGACAGACCTAGTAGAACCATCCAACATAACAGCAGCAGAACTGAGATGGGGCTAGTATGCAAGGTGGTGATGACTGGTATGAAAGTTTCAAAGTAGTTCCGAGTGAATCCCTTGTTCTGTGTGAATTGTTTGTAGAGTTGTGGTGGTGGTTTTGAGGCTTCATTTTCTGTGAACCCTGCAGTTGTTCGTAAAGCTTCGCTGATTTTCTGGATGCTTTCCTGGTAGGGTGGCGAATTTTCACTCACTCCCTGCAACTCTTGTAAGTGGGGGCCAGTTTCGGGCTCGGGTCCATGGTAGCCCAAACAGACTGATGTGACATTTTAGTATGGTGCAATCTTAGCAAGATAGCTTCAGGGAGCCCTAGAAAAAATACAAGAATCACTTACATCACATGCCACAAGAAGATCAGGAAATGCTTTACGAATGATCTTCACTGCTACAATAACTGGCGTATTGGGTGAATCGGCACTGGAACCACGTTCATCTTTTGGCATATTTGAGGGAACGCCAAATAACAAAATCTGCAAATTATAAAATCAATGGATATATATATATATATAAAAAAAGACATTTAATTCCCAAATTCTGGGAGACATGTTTATAATATACAGTACTTTGATGAGGGATAACTATCACTTATTCTTTATCCTTCATCAATTTAGTTTATCCTGCTTTAATGCTGTACTTAAAAAGCGAATAATACTCTTAAGTTGTGTTGTTAGTTTTAATATTGAACAGAACTTAAAGTGCAGGTTAAGTGTAATCCTTCAGAGAGCAGAAATGAGTCAATAATTGCTACATTATAATGATACCTGTACATTCTTGAGTATCTGAAAGTAAAGGAGACAATAGATGGTCTCGTGATTTACAGACAACCCAGGACTGTTACTAATCAAATACTGGTCAATATGTGCTATGATTACAGACCAAGCCTTCTGTAGATTATAAGAGTATATCAAGATAACACAAGAAAGAGATGTGTGTACGGACTATATCTAGATTTCCAGAAATCGCCTAACAGAGTTCTCCTCGAAAGTCAAATACAGTATGCCAGTTCAAACATATAGGAGACATATCTGATATGCTTCTACAAAGAATGCCAGATTTATTTTCCAAAATTAAGATGCAAACAATAAGAATAATAATTTCAAGACTGAGTAAAGTTACTAGTGTAGCCCATTAAGGTTAATTATTACCCCAATATTTTTAATGTACAGTATTTTGGTAAGTAACTTACCAAGACTGACAAATTAAATAATAACTTTTTGCTGATAATGCTAAACTCTTGAGGTGGTGCCAAGCCAACTGCAGTAACTTGACACATGAACTTCAACAAACTTGAATAAATGGAGTGGAATAAGGAATTCAATGTTGAAAAATATCATGTAGGCCTATACTGATAATGGAAATTGGACGAAGTATAAGTAGGCCACAAGAAAGACATGGAATCTTATTGCCTAAAGGTCAAATGTCAACTTGTAAGAAATTAACGCACTTAGTGGTAAACCTGATGCTAAGACTCTAAAGATACGAATAAGGACTTGCTCAAAAAATCATTCATGACTTACATTACACTCATTACACAACATTACACAGCAGTAGGTCTTTTCCTTTCCTAAAGAAACCCAAATAATTTGTAAACACAAGCAACAAGTGGCTCCCAGTGACAAAGAATATAAGTGCACTGGAGAGAACAAAAATACGAGACATAACATAACTATTGTACATAAATACAAACTAAAGTAGAAAAAGCCAGGTAATTTTAAAAAGCAATAGTTGGCAGATGGAACAAACTCAAGGGTAAAATTATTGTGTCAAAACCATTACCAAGTTATTTATGACAAAATAGAGACATTACACAAAAAGCATACTTCTCAAACTAGTTTGTGAATAACTATCACATAATAACACAAATGCACAGAGCTAAGCAACATAAGACTTGGCAAATAAAGTTTTGTATGTACACGTTAGTGTTATTAAAGCAGACGGCCCCAGACATAAATTTCACGAATCCTGGTTCAATTGTAATTGAATTCATGATCATACTGAGAACTTACAGAGGAAAGACCATTCTTCACTAGTGGCTTAAGGGCAGCTTCAAGTTTGTTGACACCATATCGGGTCACCCCTGGTAGACTTTCCACGGGTTGCTCTGCATCTGCTTCATCCCTGGAATAGAAGATTCATGGTTTAACAATCTAGCATCATCCAGAAAACTTGGAACTATCCTCTTGAAAATTGTAAGACTGTACTACTCTATTTACTTTAGTTTTGGGGAACTCTAATAAAAAAAGAATATTTTCTGAGCAAAGATCCCTTGGATGCTCCCTGAGCATCTCTCGGGGAGATGCTCGGGGAGCTATGAGAGCTTGGCTCATCAGTCATCTTTCCCACGGTGAGGAGAGGCATTTTTTATAATCTTTCGCATAAGTAAAGAAGGGAGGCAGTGGCAAGTCTAACTTGAACTACCACCAAACAACCAGGTGCAATAATACAAAACAAGTATCAATATTTTCAACATTCTCTGCAAATGATATTTAAAAATGTATGGGAAATCAATTACAATACAATCCCAATTATTTGGACCAATTAAAGTCAAGATAAATGCCAAAAAGACTGGGCAATGAAATTTGTCTAATTGTTTTTTACAGAAATAATACAGCTCTCATTTTGGTTTGTATTTTATTTAATGAATGTAAACAAGTATACAGTATACATTGAAAACACTTGACATATTTACTAACTGTACCTTGGAATACTGTGCATGTACATACAGTGGAACCTCGGTACTCGCACAGCTCCCAACTCGAACATTTTGGCACTCGGATGCTGTGGTCATGTTTGGTATTCATTCTTTTACTCAGCACTCACACATAAATATGCTTCCCTGATGCGTCGGTTTTGCCATAGCTCTTGTTCAGTGCACCTAGAGGCACTTTTCTCTGATATTTTTTATATTCTTAGTGTAAATAAGTCACCATGTCACCTAAGAAAGTTAATGATAAGAGGCAAGCAAAACAAAAATTGGTTAGAGCCAAGATACAGCTAAAGAAAGACCTCATAGCTAAATATGAAAGTGGTGCCCATGTGTCTGCTATTGTTATCGAGTTTGGTATGCCTAAATCAAAGATATCTACAATACTTAAAAATATAGAGGCCAGCAAAGCAGCTGATGTTGCCAAAGGAGTTTTTTTTTTTTTATTATTATTTTCTACCACAAACGTGGCCACACATTTACAATGCTAACCAGCATATATACATTTTCTTCTGTCCTCCATGGACAGGGTTAGAGATGTGTTAAACATATAGTTCAAGGGTTTATTGAACAATCAACCACAGAAGGTGATTCGGTGCTTTTAAAATGCTAAGCTAACCTACATACGTAAATACATAGATACTGTACACAGATTTAAGTATGCCCTACATAAAGTGTTCGATGTGTCTTTTACATAGTGTCATTAATGTGCATTTACAAAGATGAAATGTAATTCTGATCAGCTTCCATATGTACTTTATACACATACATACACACACACACATATATATGTACACATACATATATAAGCAGTTATGAAACAGAGAGCATAGACAATTGAAGAGGTTGAGAAATTGTTATCGATTTGGATAAATGAACGACAGTTGACTGGTTATAAGTGTATCCGAGGTCATCATTTCTGAGAAAGCAAAACAACTGCATGGTGATCTCTTACAGAAAACCGCTGGAAAGTGTGCTAATAGTGAAGTGTTCAAAGCTAGTCATGGGTAGTTTGACAAGTTTAAGAGAAGTGGCATTCACAGCTACTGTGCTTCCAGTCTTGACAATTCAAAACATACCAATAAATGAAAATGTTGTGCTTTCCACAACATGAATTAAAAGTGCTGTACTTTGATACTTACACAATAAATATAGGATACATCAAATTCCAAGGATGGATTTCCGTGTTTGATGTCTGCCATTGTCTCATGGTAGGGCTAAAGTAACCACTGTGAAGGATGCGTTTTGCAGGGGGTTCATAAGATGTCATGATGTTCTGAAATATTAAAATACAGTACTGTACCATGATAAATAAGGAATGTAAGATATAAAAAAACAAGCCGCCTCATTCCCAAAGACATTTGTATGTGCCAGCAGATTTCCTCTCTGTTCAAGCCAAAGTTGAGAAGTGTCAGGGCACCAAAACTCACCTCTAATCACCCAGCAGCAATTGGAAATACAGTATAGATGTAAACTGATTGCGAGTTGCATCGAGTGTAAACTAACAGGGTAAGGCTTACTATGAGCTATGGGAAGGGAAAGCTCTCAGCCAGCTAACAAGAGTCTGAAGTTCCATTCAGAACTTAAATTGTTATTTTTATTAGTCTGAAGTTGTCTACTCCTGTATGTATGCCTATCTAGTTCTACCTACTCCCCCCAAAACTAATTGTTCAACAATTAGCACTTACCTAAAGTTCGAGTCCTCAGATCCAACAGTTGATGAAAATTATCACATACCTGAAAATAAAATATTTTTAACATACTGTACATTAAGGGGCGAGTATAAAAAGTATTTCAAATACAGTCGAGTAACAAAATACAATTATGACGCTCAATAACAATGGAACCAATCACTGAAAAAGGTGAAATTGTAATGGAGATTAATTACATATTGTGGCAACATTTGGGAGGAGGCAATACTGATAAGAGTGCAATATCTTAATGGAAGACCTTCTTGTCTCGGACTTGCTAGGCCACGGTTAAGCATAAATGGTCTCAAAGTTACATAGAAATAAATTACAGTACCTCATTAGGGTCTTCTGCTAAAACAAAACCTTTAGCTAACCTTGTTACAAGTGTGTTATTATTCTATATAGCTGTCACCTGGCCTAAGTTAAAACAATATACATAAAACAACTTAGCCAGTCCAATCTACAAGCCCTAAACCAGCAGCAGCAGCCTACTGGTTACATGATAAAGAATGATGGTCTTACAAGTAAATCCATTTAACATTGCAGATTAAGCAAAAATCTAAACAATTAACATCTCTCACAATTACCATCCTGATATGACCACTCCACAGCACGACCCGCTGACACACTAATCCCCACACAAAAAACCAACCTCACACAACTTATCGGTAAACTTTATATGACGCCCCCTTATATGAGGGAGCCGGTCGGCCGAGCGGACAGCACTTGTGATCCTGTGGTCCTGGGTTCGATCCCAGGCGCCGGCGAGAAACAATGGGCAGAGTTTCTTTCACCCTATGCCCCTGTTACCTAGCAGTAAAATAGGTACCTGGGTGTTAGTCAGCTGTCACTGGTTGCTTCCTAGGGGTGGAGGCCTGGTCGAGGACCGGGCCGCGGGGACACTAAAAAGCCCCGAAATCATCTCAAGATAACCCCTAGCCTAGCCAGAAAAATACGTGCTGCATATTACTGTATCTCACTACCTTTAATACCCTAATGTGCAGCAGTGTGTGTGCTCGGAATAAAGCTTGAACAAATTCCTTAGGAGCCATAGGGGTAACTTTGACAAACCACTGGCTTCCTAGTCCCATAAAGGCCACTATATGGTGGCCCACAGGTAAATTCAAGGAAATATGAGCAAGGGGTTTAAGATCCACCAGTCTTTGCAAGATGCACATCATGTGGGAGCTGCAGTAACAATAAAAACCAAATCTTTGACTTCAAGGAAAATTACGATCCCCCCCCCCCCCACCAGAGACTGTGTCCCTGAGGTAAATTCATCCAAATAACCCCCTCTGCCTGCCCTCGTTCCCAATCACACTTATTATACTAACTTGTACTCTTCTGTTTTATACCCTTTTCCTCCTCTACACCTCTTGTACACCGATTAATTGGACTCACAATTAACCAGTTTGCTCCTTCCCAGCCGGCACCTCGTCTGTAAATGACCCCTTTTTTGTTTATTATTGTAAAGTGTGAGACAAGACACGGCACTCTCCCTTAGGTAACTATAACGCCTAAACTCTCCTATTGGTTAAGCTTCTCACCACCAGAGCGGTCCATAGAATTACCCAAATCGGCCCAAATCGGCCCAAAACTACACAAATCGTCCTAGCATTACGTAAGTAATGAAGAAATATGGTATATTTACTTACTATAATGTTGGTGCTACACGTAGAACATGATCAAACCTATTTTTACTCTGAAATAATCTAATTTCATAACGAAATGAGACAAATATGTGAGAGGTGACGCCATAGGAAATCGACGGTCCAAGCGACAATTGTGTGGAGCGACTTATCCAAGATATATGGTCGCCTGGAGAGTGTTTGCTGCCATATCAGCCTCCTGTACACAGTGATCCAGTCGTCGCATTTCATGGCTCAAATTGTCGCAAATTTAATTGGTTTATATTAAGAAGTAGAATGTGTATTTATATAATATCTTTCATAAACAGCCATTAAATCTTTAATATATATTAAACAAAACGTGTCTGGAAGTTAAATCAACTCCACAGGACAATAAATTTGTTATATAGATACTAGCGTTATTCGTTGGTATGCGTTCGCAATTTAAACTGCTCATGTCCTTTTCGTTCATTGAACACCGAACCCTACACAACCATGCACAACTCAAAGTCCAACAAGTCACACCCCCGGAGTAATGCAATCGGAACCTGACAAGTTGTGTAACCGGAGCCCGACCAGTTGTGTAACCGGAGCCCGACCAGTTGTCTAACTGCAAGCCTAACATGAACGAACCAAACAAACAACCTCTGGATCACAACTATGCACGAACGGAAGCCCGACCATGCACAACCCATAGCCCAAGGGACACCCCCGGAGCCCGACCAGTTATTTAACCGGAGCCCGACCAGTTGTGTAACCGGAGCCCGACCAGTTATTTAACCGGAGCCCGACCAGTTATTAACCGGAGCCCGACCAGTTGTGTAACCTGAGCCCCACCAGTTGTGTAACCGGACCCCGACCAGTTGTGTAACCATAAGCCTAGCACGTATACATCTCATCCAACCCCCACCATTAAGCTAAACAGTCCCAGAGCACAACCAAACTCCATTCCTAGCTCGACCAAACAAAAATCTGCTTAGAGCTACCTAAAACCCTCCACTTGCCCTGGAAACCAACTATGGAGCCATATCAAACAATTGAACTATATAAAAAAAAAAAAACGAATTTCTAGCAAACATATAAACATAAAGCCCTAGCAGAAGATTAATCTCAGAAGATTACAAATTCTTGAGGCAATTCACATAAGAATAGAGCGACCTACCATGAACACCCAAATCACGGAACTATTTACTCTACCCACCATGAGAGTAAGGACAAGACAAGAACATATCGATGCCAACACAGAAGACAATGTCCAACATAACAGGCCAATTACACTGGATTAAACTTTGTGTTTGGATAGGAGATGCCTCGTATGGGCCAATACGCCTTCTGCAGCCTCTATGTTTCACCTCACTTATGTATCCCCCCATGTTTTTCACCTTCATTGTATTATCACCTGACCTAATGCGGGTATAAAATCAACTAGTATTGTAAGATCTGTTCACTTGAGAATGAACCATGGAGGTTCGAAACGTCGTGCAAATTATACAAATAAGTGTAATACACTCTATAGTAATTCACTTCTTTTCTTCACCTTAAAAGTACGAAAATGAGTTTTGGAGAACTCCTATTTCAATTAAGCCCTGATGCTAAGAAAATAGTTAGAGGGATAGAAGCCCTAAACCAGAAAATAATAAATACAGAATATGCGGTCATATTCAATGAAACATATATATATATATATATATATATATATATATATATATATATATATATATATATATATATATATATATATATATATATATATATATATATATATATATATATATATATATATATATATATATATATATATATATATATATATATATATATATATATATATATATATATATATATATATATATATATATTATATATGTATATATATATATATGTATATATATATATGTATATATATATATATATATATATATATATATATATATATATATATATATATGTATAATATATATATATATATATATATATATATATATATATATATATATATATATATATATATATATATATATATATATATATATATATATATATATATATATATATATATATATATATATATATATATATATATATATATATATATATATATATATATATATATATATATATATATATATATATATATATATATATATATATATATATATATATATATATATATATATATATATATATATATATATATATATATATATATATATATATATATTATTAAATATGACCGAAAAAGTAAGATTAATAATTCTAACACGAATTTTCTCGATCTTTCGTACGTTTCTTTTCACTGTTGGTGGTAATTCAAAAATCAATTCTCCAAAATTCATTTTTATTTCTAGTCTGACGCGACACTTGAGCGCGTTTCGTAAAACTTATTACATTTTCAAAGGCTTTAGCTTTAGACAAAATTTATATATATATAAATTATATATATATATATATATTTATATATATATATATATATATATATATATATATATATATATATATATATATATATATATATATATATATATATATATATATAAAAATTTCTATAAATATAAATTTCTCCACCACACTACACAACGTGATAATGGCTCAGAGAGGTGACCAAAACGTCTTCTCTTCGTATATTTTCTGATGTGTGGGTTGGGTAGCGTGATAATCATATTAAATTCTTCCTTACTAGGAAGAATTATCCCAGGCGTGTGTCCCAGGGGCTGGAAGTAGAGGGTATAAGGTTTACTATGAGCTATAGGAAGGGAAAGTTCTCAATCTACTAACAGGAGTTACCAGTCTTTTCTTCCTGTTCACACCTGCGTTAAAAAGAACGAAATTTGACAGGTTTCTTTCCCTAAATACTTTGTCTTAGACAGATCATATATGTTTTCGGATGTTTATTTACCATTACAGTATATCACTGAAACTGAGTCTTATGATGTTAATGATATATATACAATAATAATATACTTATATTATTATAGAACTTTAAATAGATTATACTTATATATAAAATAATAATGTATAATGAATTTAAAATTATTTGGTACATGTCGATATCTCCAGAACACGTGAGAGCCTATAGACTACAGATGTCTCCAGACCACGTGAGAGCCTACCGAAGTCTCCACCACGTGAGGGATGTCACGTCATAACACGTGGTGTTGAGAAAGCTTCACCTGTAGAGGCAGATAGCACTGGGACCGCGAGCTTGGGAACCAACCGCGTGAAACATGGCAAAACTCGTATCAACATCATCTACCAAACTTAAAAGAAATCACATATTATAGGTTTCTCGGGGACAGGAAGCCTATTAGGTTTATCGAGCTCCACATAAGCTGTCAAACCCCCACCTTCCCAGGATGCAAACTACAACATAGCTGCCTGTCTCCCTGGTACCTATTAACTCTTAGGTGAACAGGAGCATAGGGATACGAACCCAAACGTCCCTCTGTCCGGTCGCAGCACTCAAATCGGGGAGCTTTCGGTTGTGAACCAACGACGCTGGCCACTGCGCCACAGGACCCATTGTATGTTCTTTTTCTCTTTTCTTGTCAATCTGCTCCAATATAATGTTGTTGATTTGGTAGTCGGGAAGCGTATTCTTATGCCTCACATGCAAAATTTCATCACAATAGGCTTTCAGTTTGGTTTTTCAGATTGTAATCGGCAGCAGAGTATTGTATTCCGTTGTATCCTCTTGTATTTCATCGTAAAATATTGTATTCCGTTGCAGGATATTGTATTATATCGTATAATAGTGTATTTTATCATAGAATATTGTGTTCCGTCGCCTTCTGGTTGAAAAGGCAGAGCTCAGATTATTTATATAATGCATATTTTGCAATCAATTTCTCACAGATGTCTTTTCAGCTAAGCCTCACCTTTCCCTCTAGGGCCTCCAGTGCAGCACGTCGTGGATTGATGGAATGAGGTGGATTGACAGATTGAGGTGGTGACGGGCTGGGTGGGGGAGCTATTTCGATGATTAAAGAGACAAGAGATAGCAGTAAGCAGTCAGAAGGCAGCCATGGCGGGTGAAGGAAGCCGAGATCGAGTGCTTCTGGGCAGCTTGGTGTACTTAACGATGCTGTTGGCGCCAGGTATTCTTTAACCACCTCAAGTTTACCTGTTTACCTGAGAGCCACTAACACTATAGTGGCCTCGACGAGGACAGGAAGTCGGTGGCTTGTCGAAGGTCTTCCCATTTGCGCTGATGAATGCCTCGAGCAGAAACACATTACATGATTTCATGTGTAACTTGCACAAAAAGTATCAACTTCAAGCTCCTAAGGAGTAGCAACCTCAAGGAGTCGCAGCTTCAAGCTCAAGGAGCAGCAGCTTCAAGCTCAACAAGCTACAAAGTGCGAGAGCATTAGGCTGTCTCACCCACAGAGTAATAAAGGCAAGGAATCACATATCCGCCGAAGCCGTAAATGCGAAGTCTCCAGTTTAAAATGCAGAAAAATCTCCAGGAGTTATGAGCGGACTTTTGACAAGCCATTGTCTTCCTATCCCCTAACGAGGCCATTAGATTTATTGGCCTAAAAAAAAGCCTAGGGCTCTCTTTCTAGAGAGCCCTAGGCTTTTTTTTCTTATGGTCATAACTCCATCAATTCGGAACCATTCTATATTAATATTTTCTGTATTAGAGAAGAGAAAACAACGCTGTCTTTAACATTCCTAAGTGTTCACGGTCTTCATTAGTCATCAAATCATGTTCAAAGCGAGTGAGGTTACATTTTAAAGAGTGCAGTAGCCTAATATTATTTGATAAAAGACATTGCTTGTGAGTTCAATTTCAGTTGTAATGTTTTGTTTACCGTTGGGCTGGTTTATTAACATTTCTTCTTTTTACAGAACGCACGTCAGTTGTCCCATTGTAGCCTACAGGTGTTTCCTGTCATATATGTGCGCCAGCTGCTTCCTTGCCACATATATGTATGTCAGGTGCTCCCTTCTGCAAGAGTTTCACGTGATGCCTTGTTACAGACACTACCCTCCCCTCTCCCTCAAAAGAAATGCATGTGTTTATCACTCAGAATACATACAGAATGTTCGGTAGTATGTTGATTGTTTGCAATGTGTGTCTAGATATATATATTTATATATGAACACGTTGTACTGAACGGAGTGAGAATAGCTTGAGCTGCCTCATCCCTTTGTGTGTATTTATCCCTCAATAAACTTATTTCAATGTAAATTTAAATAAACCTCTTATCGTTCTTTGTGTTGACCAGGTCTGGCTCAGAACTTCACCCAATTCGCCTATGACTATGCTCCCTACTTGCGGTTCGACAGCACGGTAAGCACTAACTCATAATTTTTAACTGGTTCCACTGAAAATGAATTAGAATAGTCTTCTAATGGCAGAATTAAAACATTCTTCTGATGACACAGGACCATTAGAAGGCTATTCAATGATGGTTAAAATGTATTTATTACTGCGGGATTATTACACCTCGGGTGGCGCTGTGAACATGGCCACTAATACGTGTTACTGAAAAAAAGTTACATTCACGGAGCTCCTGGGAAGTGTTCCCTGGGAAGAATTTAATATACAATTGAACTGGTGGGAATTGTGTCTCACTGTGCGACGTTCCTTGGCTTCGATACATATATCATTCTTGGCTCAAGGTAAACATATTTTGAAGGTTACAACTTACTTCTTGGGAAAAAATCTCTCCACAAATCTTGGGATCTTGGGAACTCCTTAGAAAATCTTGGGATTTTGGGAATCTCACCTTTTTTCTTGATCTTGGAATTCTTGAAAATCTTGGAATTTTGTAAATCTTGGGAACACCTTAGAAAAAAATATGGTAATTCGATGATAACATTTATCTATTGATGTAGCGCAGGATGAGATGAGCATCAAGACTGATTGCTCCTAAAATAAAACTTTCCTTATTAAGAATACTCATAGCCCAGTGAATAGAGCTTCACCTTCACACGCGTTGGGTCCACAGTTCGAGTCCCCTACAGCCCAGGTGAATGGAATGACTGCTTCTCCCACAGTGGGTCTTGGTACCAACAAGTATATCATCTTCATAACGCTGATGATTTGTTGAGACGGATTTTTTGTAAGGCGTTAATTAACCCATTGAACGAGATGAGGCTTCAGACTCAGCCTTAAAGAGTGTTTTCATGAGTTCATTTAGTTTTTCATTTTGTAGCCTAGCAGATGACTTTTATTTATGAGGTAAACGCTGGACGTCGTACTGCATCTAAGTAGGCGCATTGTATAGCTAATTTGATGTAGGAAACTTGTAGTTTACTTGTATAAATACATTTTACACCTGGATGGGTTTTCCTTCAGGCGGGCTCGGGGGAGCGGTGCTTCCCGCAAGCGGCCGCGGAGTACTACGAGGCGCGGCTGGCGGGGGACTGGTCCCGCAAGTGCAACACTAACTACTCCTCTCTGGAGGCCGGGGAGGTGCCCACCTACTGGCACGCCCTCACCTGCGGATACCACCTGCACATAGGTGAGTGCCGGACCCCGTCTCTGGCCTGTGGCCCAACCGCTCTCACTATCTTACTTTATGTGGTGAAGACTTTGTTGATGACTGTGGCGAGGTGTGGGACTGACATAGGAGAGAGAGTGGAGACCATCTTGCTGAGTGTTGTTCCTCCCCGCAGCCTACTGGAACTTCTACGGCTACAACCACAACTGTGACTGTTGCTCCGGCGAGAGAGACGCTTGGTGGGAGTCTATTGTCATCAAGGTCAGCCTCTAATGTGTCCCAGTCAAGGTCAGCCTCTAATGTGTCTCAGTCAAGGTCAGCCTCTAATGTGTCTCAGTCAAGGTCAGCCTCTAATGTGTCCCAGTCAAGGTCAGCCTCTAATGTGTCTCAGTCAAGGTCAGCCTCTAATGTGTCACAGTCAAGGTCAGCCTCTAATGTGTCACAGTCAAGGTCAGCCTCTAATGTGTCACAGTCAAGGTCAGCCTCTAATGTGTCACAGTCAAGGTCAGCCTCTAATGTGTCACAGTCAAGGTCAGCCTCTAATGTGTCACAGTCAAGGTCAGCCTCTAATGTGTCACAGTCAAGGTCTAATGTGTCAGTAAACAAAAGCCATTAACCAGCAGTTGACAGGTGTGTGATGGCTGCAGGTTCGCGACTGGGAGCTGAGCCCACACCTGCACGAGGTCATGTTTGGTCAGAAGAAAGGTTGGTACACACGGATCCCGGGGCACTATGAGACGCAAGGCACCAGTCACCCTGTCGCTTACGTGGGCAAGAACAACCACGGCGCCTACCATGACGACGGTGGCACTGGCTCCTGTTGTTACTATGAAGACTACCGCAACCCAGGTGACTAGCGCTCCTAGCTATGTGGCAACCCAGGTGACTAGTGCTCCTAGCTATGTGGCAACCCAGGTGACTAGCGCTCCTAGCTATGTGGCAACCCAGGTGACTAGCGCTCCTAGCTATGTGGCAACCCAGGTGACTAGCGCTCCTAGCTATGTGGCAACCCAGGTGACTAGCGCTCCTAGCTATGTGGCAACCCAGGTGACTAGCGCTCCTAGCTATGTGGCAACCCAGGTGACTAGTGCTCCTAGCTATGTGGCAACCCAGGTGACTAGCGCTCCTAGCTATGTGGCAACCCAGGTGACTAGTGCTCCTAGCTATGTGGCAACCCAGGTGATTAGCGCTCCTAGCTATGTGGCAACCCAGGTGATTAGCGCTCCTAGCTATGTGGCAACCCAGGTGACTAGCGCTCCTAGCTATGTGGCAACCCAGGTGATTAGCGCTCCTAGCTATGTGGCAACCCAGGTGACTAGCGCTCCTAGCTATGTGGCAACCCAGGTGACTAGCGCCTTTTACTATTTAGTAACTTGTTCCTCCGCCACAAACTAGGACGCAGTGCAATAAAGACACAATATATACTAACGATTATATCATGAATTATAAGAGTGTCATTATCCACGTGTATGAATACAGAGTGTAGTGTCATTACAGGCAGCCCTGACCAGTCCCTGGAGACTTGGGTGAATCTGGTGGAGCTGCGTCAGGAGGACGGGGCCGAGGACTGGATGGGTGACCCTAACAGCGATGTGTGGAGTGGCATCCTTCCTCCAACCTTCAGGACGGACTGGGACCTGTGTGCTCTCACCAGCTGCACTGGTTCGACTCTCCAGGTGACCTTACCCATACCTTCAAGGGTGACCCTAACCCATACCTGCCAGGCCGCCTTACCCACTCCTTCTGGAAATTAAAATAAATAAATTTATTTTAACATTATCCCGAATGTTAAATATTTTGAACTCACACGAATTATTGTTTAATTGTTTTTGTGTGATTATAGCTTGTTATTAAGGATTATTATTGTTAACGTGACTCAGAGAATATTTTTGATGATTAATTCGTGGTATTATCGTTGGATGTTCGTTAATATAGATAATTTATGACTCTCTAAACCTAACTAATTATAGATAGAAATCCAGAAGCGATACTTTATTCCCCCTCTTATATATATATTTTTATGTGTAGTTTGATATTCAGATGCGAGAAATTATTCCAGTCTATTAATTATTTACATGTTTTTTTCCTACATTGCAGGTGTGTGGTACATGTGGCTGCCACAAGAGTGACGTTAGCGAGGGTCCCTTCTGATACCCCGGCTCCACATGTGTATTCATACACATGTGCCTCCCCACACCTGCCTCAGGCAACACATGTATCCTTTCACACACCTGTATCCTTAATTACTGGCACG